GGGGGCGGTAAATAGCAATCCAGTAAATATATCATATCCCTTAAATCCATCTAAGAATTAAATAGGTCAAAAAGTATATAATAGCGACAAAATTGAGCATATAAAAAAATATATAAAAACACACCTATTAAATCTTCTCAAATTTAAATTGTTGTTTGTTCCCCCAAACAACTTAAAACTAAAGCAAATAAATGGAAAAAACAAGTACGAGAATTTTTACTCAGAGTCTTACAATTTTCAAATAAGTACATAGTTCAAACTGCTTATATTAATTAATTCACACTCCAGATAAAACCATTTAGAAACGCAAACACATCAAGTACCAATTCAAGTAATCACCATCAAGTATCAATTAGTCTAGTTCTATTCCGTATCAAGTTGAAATCTAAAAATTCCTCATTCTTCATTTCCTCTTATAAACTCTTTTTTTGTTTTGTTTAAGACACATGACGATTGGATTTTAGTCTTTCGTGTTCATCATGACACAAAGTATCGCATTAGTATTCATTTATGCACTAGAGCCCCTACAGGCCAACAGCTGTTGCAACCCATAACTCTTTTATTTTTTTTTTTTTTTTTGGTGCCAAAACGGCTTTTCGACTCAACACCAATTATTCTAATTTTTTTTTTTTAGCCATGAGACATAGAAACTCCACCTTTCAACTGCAAGTTTTCAAACTTTACGACATTTATTAAGCAATCACAATCACATTTTAGCAATAAAAATCATTTCAAAATCGACTAAATACAATTAAGTCACAAAAATATCAACAATCATGTTTTTGCCAAAATGACAACACTTTAACCGAATATAATTACCACAAGTCATTTAAACTGGTACAATTCAATCAAAACTAACCCTCATATCATTATCGTGGATTTTTCACATACTAGAAAAATCGAGCTCATACAAAACAAACAAATATAAAGAAAATAAAAAAAAAACTAAAAGTGCATAACTGGAAAATCAAGTCAGAAAGTGTACGAAGAAAATGATTTCATTTTCATGTTACTTCTCATCTAACTTTGATCAACCTACCACTAAGTTCTTTTCAAAAAAATTGTATTGGAATATACACTTTTTGACTTGATTGTTGGCGTCTCTACACCGCGACACTTTCTAGCGTTATTTTGAAGGTTTATCGAACCGGCTGAGAGCAGATGCAGGTCGTTAGAGTCCGGTCCAAGTTGTATTACACACCAGTATTGATTTTGAGTTGTGATGAGGAAAGTTTACTGGTACTTGTTAAACAGTAATGTCATCCCCTCATCAATTTAATGGGGCGTTATTTCGTACAAGTATTGGTTGTGCACCTTCTACCTTTAGAGAGAGCTCTTAAGGACGAGATCTACTCGAATCTCATTCATCATTGTATCAGAACACCTAGGTTTGTTTGTTTGGAGGCGAAGCATTTGGATTACATGTGTAGGTGGCATTAGAAATTATGTTCGTTCCACATCAATCAGTAATTGGGTTGTTATTGTGTATAAATGTGGGTTGGGCGCCCTTTTACCCTGAGCTAGCTTTTGGGTATATAGGTTCTATCTGAGCCCGTTTATTAATGTTAGTTTGTGTAGTTATAATCATGTATTTATTGATGATCAATAGGGTTGTTATCGAACCGAGATGTTCGCGAACAAAGCTCGTTCGTGTTCGATAACAGCTAGTTCATTTAGCAATCAAATCGAACTCGAACATGAAATTATGTCCGTTTAGTTACCGAACGAACACGAACAAGTTCGCGAACTAATCGAGCGTTCGCGAACAAAAAAAAAAAACATTTTATAATTTTATATATTATATAGTACTATTAAGTAAAATAACTTGTATGACATTAAAATTTTAAAAAAAAAAGAGTTAAAAAAACGAACACAAACATGTCGAACAATTCGAACACGAACTTGTCGAACAATTCCTGCTGTTCACGAACAAGTTCGACTAGATAAACGAACGAACACGAACATGTCGAACCAATAAATGAACGAACACGAACGAAATTTTTTGTTCGTTTACTAAACGAACGAACACGAATATGTTCAAAAATTAGTCGAATTCGAGCTCGAACACTTTAAACTCGGTTCGATTAAGTTCGGTTCGATAACAACCCTAATTGATCAACCGTTTGTAAATCCCTCTTTTAAAACCCACTTGTCTTATTTTTTTTATTTTTTATTTTTTATTTTTTATTTTTAATCAATAATCAGACAAGTAACGTGACAGACGCAGTAAATATAAAAACTTGTGCACGTGCTCCATTTTATAATAATTAATTAATTAATTAATTACAGTTGTCCAAAACAATTTCACCCTCTCCACCACACAACTCTCAAACAACAAACCGAAATCAAAAATAGAGAAAAGGGAAGAAAAAATTCCTGTCCAGATCCGTCGGAATCGTGTTCCGGTTACCGTCCGTCGTCGAGATGTTTCTGTTGGACTGGTTTTACGGCGTCTTGGCATCTCTCGGGTTATGGCAAAAGGAGGCTAAGATCCTGTTCCTTGGCCTCGACAACGCCGGCAAAACTACGCTCCTTCACATGCTTAAGGATGAGGTATTTTATTTTTTATTTTATTTTTTTTGGTTGAATAAGATTTTTTTTCGTTTTCGACTTTATCAGCAGATCCTGATTGACTTGGATATTTTTTTTTTAATTTTTTTTTTAATTTTTTGATTCAGAGATTAGTGCAGCATCAGCCGACACAGTATCCAACCTCGGAGGAGCTGAGCATCGGCAAAATTAAGTTTAAGGCTTTTGATTTGGGTGGTCATCAGATCGCCCGTAGGGTTTGGAAAGATTATTACGCTAAGGTAGTTTGTGATTTAGTTTATATGTGGCAGCAATTTATAGTTCTGAGTTGTGTGATTTTCTTTTGATCGTATCATTTGTGCACCTGAAGTTCACTGGAATTTGTTGTTTTTTCGAGGATGATAAGAATAGAGGTTTGGTTGATTTAGTTCTTTCCATTGTGTTCTTTGGGTAATCAGCTGAATGGTCAATTAGGTTGTAAACGTTTTGCCGTATTTCGCTGAACTTAATTCTAGTTTTCGGTCATGCACAATTGATGACTTTGCTGATGTGCAGAAATCTTTGGCTTGTTTTCTTTCCTTTTTCCGCCTTAGGAAGTGAGTTAAGCTCTAAATGTGAACCTACAATCGCTATAATCTCAATTGCTGATGTTGTTGCTTGTTTTGCTGGGAAATTTATGATAATATTTGCCAATTAATGTGACCAGTCAGATACTTCCACTATTGTAGTTATCGCACGACTCTTTTTTTTCTCAACATAAGAAGCTCGGCTTTTGAAAATGAATTACATGCTAAGGTAAGTGACCTACCTGTATCTTGTTTCTAGTTTTGCTCTGAAATTGCAACAGAATGGAGTCAATGGACAAATATTGTCTCAAAAGGTTCCTTTGTGGTTGTTCCATTTCTATTGCTTCATCTTATGCAATAAAGTACAAAATGAATAATAGATACTCACATAGCTCCTATATCCATTGTAAATGCAGTCTGTATCAAGATTTTGTTATTACAAACACTTTGTAGCTTCACGAAATTGCATGTAAGTAAGTACGTTTGGTTGTTAATTTATACAGGTCGATGCTGTGGTTTATTTGGTGGACGCGTATGACAAGGAACGTTTTGCCGAATCCAAAAAAGAACTCGATGCACTCCTCTCGGACGAGTCACTCGCGAATGTCCCGTTTCTGATTTTGGGGAACAAGATTGACATACCTTATGCAGCCTCGGAAGACGAGTTGCGTTATCATCTGGGCCTGACAGGTGTGACTACTGGCAAAGGGAAGGTGAATCTTGCCGATTCCAACGTGCGCCCTCTTGAGGTGTTTATGTGTAGCATTGTGCGCAAGATGGGTTATGGGGATGGTTTCAAATGGGTCTCTCAATATATAAAGTAGAGATTTTTCTATCATCATCGTAAGCAGCATTTTTATGGAGTGGAGATGAATGTAAAATTTCTTTCTTGATGAAGAGGGAGGAAGATTTATTTCTGTTGGGTGTCGATTCAGTTTTTTGTTAAGACGTGTATTCGTTGCGCTTTGATGAATCTGTAAAGTAGGGAGAAATCTGATTGCATCTTCCCTCTGTAAACAATTTTATTGTCTGAGATTGGAGGAATTTAGTTGTGAATTGTTTGTGCTGGAGATGCTGATCAAGATATAACATAATCTTCCTCCTCTAGACATTCTGTTTAGTATATTATGCTTAATCCACAGTTAGTGGCTAGCCTGGGCTGAAGCCCAGGGTCATTTTTGTGCCACTGTTAGTATATTATGCTTAAGAATAAGAAATATTTTTTGTTAAATTAATTCAGCTTATATGAAATTTATTTTAATTTGTATGTGTATGTATATATATTTGGTGATGACTAATTATTTGAAAAAAAAAAAAAGAAAATCTAACAAACAATTAATGTAATATCATTTTTGTTAATTAGTAACACTATTTTTAGCCTTTTTATGTGAACTCATTCTTTGATCAATTAACGTAACTTGTTAGATATTTTACTTTGAGGAACATGTATATTATTGATGAAAATGTTGTAATCCTTCAAAATTAAAACATGTTTCACTATAGAATCTCAAGTACCGATGAGATTAAAATATTTATTGTAATTATAAATTTAAGTTTGGATACTTTATATTTATGTAAATAAATTTTTATCGATGATGTTGAGCTAGATTGAAGGCATATTTATTCTTGCATATTCCATCATTTCCAGCAAATTTATATATTTTTGTAATTGTATCTAAATATACAAAAAAAAGAAAGTAAAAATATAATATTTCATATTAATTTTTCTTTTTAATTTAAAAAATATGATGAATCGGTCTATCTAACTTTTAACCGTCATTATACATATCAGATCAGCCTAGGGTGAAATTTTTTTCTGGCTACGTCCCTGTATCGTCTCCAGCATTGTAAGACAAGCTCTTGCTCTAACTAACTTCACAAGAATGAATATAATGATAGATGATTGGTAATGTTAAAAAGTTATTTTTAGCAAGTTCGGCCTAAATGGCTCACAGATTTAGATTAAACGATCAACTGCCTAAAAATGGACTAGCATTATGAGGACCTAAATTTAACTCAGGCGGGATTTGGGCCAAACATACTACTATAGTGACTATAATCAGAATTGGCGGCATTTGGGCCAAACATATTACTATCATTATTCTTATCAGAATTTCTAAGATTATAAATTTGAATGCGATATTAATTATATTAAGCATACACAACATAAAATCTTGAATATATATATATATATATATATAGAGGATGTGGTTCAAATGAGAAACAAGTCCTAACATGAAAATCGTGAGAACCGCTATTTTTAATTGTGTGTAGTGCTATGATTGATTTTGTTTTAGTCTATTTTTAAACATGACGTATTTTATTAAAAACAGCAACGAAATTTTTATTAGCATTTGTGAAAATGATAGCACCATACAATATTAAAAATAACATCATACACAATTAAAAATAGCATCAAATATTGATCACACAGTTTTCACACCAGACCTAGTTTTTATTTGAACCAGCCACTATATATAGTTAGGATCATATGAGAATGGTAGATAGTAAGAAATAAGAATGAATCTGTACCATGAGATCAATCATATCATGGGTATGATGAAGTCAAACCATGATCAATAATTAATGGCATTCTGGTAATTAATAGTCAAAATATATACATTTTTAATCAATAATTAAGGTAATTTAGACATTTGATTCAAATTTAACTTGTGGGACCCATTCACTACCAACATTAAACCCAACACAAATCGGGTTAACCCAACATACTTGATATTTTATTTTAATTGTGAAATTTCAAATGTTGTTTCATTAGAAATGCTACGCAAATTGAAATTATATATTTCACATATTCAAAAATATCATTATTTAAAAGTTAACGAGTAATTGATATATTTCATATATAAGGTAATATAAATAATATAAGTTAATCGTGTCTTAAACCAAACATTAAAAAAAGAAAAACAAAGAAGAAGAAATGACAAAGTTAGCTATAACCACAAAAAAATGCATATGAAAAGTTTGAGTCATGTCAAGAAATATGCATAACTTCTTAGTTTAATATAAAATAAATTTAATTTAATATGAACTAAATAATTTTATCATAATTTAAATTAACAAAGCTAAAATATTTTTTTACTACTATATATTTAAATAAAACGAAAAATTAAGACTAGACTAGAGCCCAAGTGAGCCACCCTCTACGTTTTTTGGATTATGCATATTGAATTTATCAGCCTTGAA